TTCCCCTCGATATATCTAGTACCCAACTGGCACCATACATAGTTACATCAATATTATTGACTATATTCCCTTTGCTTTACTTTACATCCCTGTGACATTTTTTTAAAGATTTTATTCATTCATTTATTTATTTATTTTTAAGACGGGGAAGGGAGGGACAAAGAGAGGGAGGTAAGTACCAATGTGTGACTGCCTCTGGCACACCCCCTACTGGGGACCTGGCCTGCACCCCAGGCATGTGCCCTGGCTGGGAATCAAACCATCCACCTTTTTTTGTTTGCAGGCTGGTGCTCAATCCACTGAACCACACCAGCCAGGGCCCCTTGGGAACATGTTTCTGTTCCTCTAATGCACAGGTGGCTAATGCCCATGGGCTAAATCCAGCCCTCCACCTTGTTTTTTGGCCGGCACCTTGTTTCTACCTGGCAGCACCACCAAGCTCCTTGCCCCTTGTTAATAAGTAGTTACATTTATACAGTCTTAAAATTACATTCGGCCCTTTATGTGCCCCTCCCACCCCATGAAAATGAGTTTGACACCCCTGCTCTAATGCATTTCACTAAAAGCTATCAAAAGATAACTTCTTGAAATTTGGCTAATTATATTTTTCCTGCTTAAAATCCTCTCCCACTGCCTAGAAGACAAAATTTCAAATTCCTTACCTTAGTGTTTTTAACATTCTTGTGAAATGCCCTCTTTCCAACCCTATTTCCCATTATGCCTCTTCATACCTCCTATTTCAGGCAAAATAAACACCTTATTTTATGTGCCTAAACACACACACACACGCAGATTTACACTGCTCTCTGCCTAGAAAATCATTCCTCCTCACATTCACAGCTTACCAATATTTTTAAAAGCCAGCTCCCTTTCTTTATCAAAGTTTTCCTGATTTCCTAGTCTGAATTCCCACATGTGTATCTCTCCAATGGCTCTTTTCTCATATTAATTCATTACAGTTAATCCCCTACATGAAGAGCTACTTACAGAAAGGTGTGCTTACCTTTTTATTTCCCATAACAGATCACAAAAGTCACAGGTAGTTTAAATAATTCATTTTGAGGAAGTCATTACTCCAGCAAGAATCTTTAATCAGGTACTAAATATGAGAGGGGAGATAGTGATACAGACATACCTCATTTCATTGTGCTTCACAGATGGTGCATTTTTTACAAATAGAAGGCAAAAAGACCATCCACCAATAGTATCTCTGAGGTATGCCTATATTACAGATTATAATGTATGTGAGCTAAAACATTTACCAAGTTGTCCTTCAAACTAAATGTCTCACTACTACCTATGCTAAAATGTTTGATTTTACTTCTCTTCTTTAGGGACAGTATGCATAAGGTTGATTGATTAAAAATACAGACTACCTACAAGATATTTTATACCTTCCAAAAGTAAGACATTTTTACATAAAGGCTCAGATCACGAATGCAATGGATAAAGTCCTTTGCCTACTTGACAGCAATGTCAAGGATTTTCAAGCAAATCTAAAAAGCAATTTATAGGGTTTTTAAAGGTTTTTTACTTGATTTTTAAATCAAGGAAAAAATCCTCTTGGAAATCACAAAATTTTAATAATAAAGAGGAAGGGGGAAAAGTCTGTCTGGGATGTAACACAATTTTTAAAACATATAATGCTGAGACTAATATGGCTAAATATCACTAAAGTGCACATTTCTATTCATAACTCCTTACTAGAATTACTATGTAGAACAAATACTTTTGGGAAACACAAATAGCTGTGGAGCTAGTTACCCTTACTTTGTATGCTACTTGTAAGAAAATTCATGAATTTATTGCCAAGCCCAAGTCGATCAAAAGTAGCAAATTAGCTATTCAGAGGCTGTCTGTACACAATGAAATCAAAGAAGAGTAAAAGCTGCCAGCCTAATAGCAAAGTAAGCAAAGAGGGAAATGAAAAGTAAGTAGACTGAAGAATTCATAAAGCCAAGCAGTCTGAGACTACTAAGGAGGGCAAGTTCCTCACTGGGTCTCAGTGGCTTCATTATGTTGTAGCACAGTGGGTTTTCAACTGGTGTGCCACAAGAATTTTTAACACATGCAATACCTGACCTTTTTTTCCTTAGATTATCAAATAAAAAATATGTCAACAGCCAGCACAACAACAGCCATCTGGTGTGAATGAATCAAATTATAATTTTTTCTTTGTTGTTAGATTGGCAAAAAAAAAAAAATTTTGGTGTATGTGTGCCATGAGATAAAAAAGGCAGAAAAATCACTGTTCCAGCATTAACAGTGATTAATTCTCGTGGTGTGAAATCTAAGTTATCAAGTCAATTATGTTCCTCAGTTTGTTCAAAAACCATCACGATATCATTTGGAAAGGCTTTTATCTAAAAGTTGTGGTTCTACACAATATTTCATTTCTTCTAGACAGAAAATGAAAATTTTGCTCTAATTCATACCAAATTGTTTTATGCCTTCTTTATTAAACTTCCTATCAATATCTATGGATTAATGTTTCCTTATTTTTTATCTAACAACCAGTACAAAACCATAACATTAGGCAAAATAAAAAATTTCCATACTTCCTTACATTTTATTTTAAAAGTAACAAGTTAACTACATTAAAGTAGTTGGCATACTATTAGCATGTAATATTTGGTATCCATAACTGAGAGCATGTATCTGTTTTTAGGTTCTTAAACGTCACGCACTAAACATTTATAAAATAAAAATTAGTAAAATTAAATGGTATGTTCACTTCAAACACGCAAAGTTAATTTTAAATTGAGGGTTTTTAACTTTGTGGTTTCTTAATTTATCTTTAAGTAATCAGAGTCCTTGTATTTGCAGAAATGAAGGTAAAGACTTATCAAAATCATCCTATCACTACTCCCACCCATGATGATGATAATGTGATACATGATGGTAAGAATGTGATTGTTCTGAGTTGATATAATTCTCAAAGAATATCTCTTAAAACAATCTCGAAAGGTTTATATGGGTTAATATTAATATTGTAGCTATAAAATGACAGAAAAAAACTGGTCTAATTTCTAGTTATCAATTAATCCAAATGGAAATCTAAATAAAGTGCATTGTCTTAACTTGGTTGTTACACAATAAGACTGTGCACCTTTGATCCAAAGTAATGGTTCTTAACTAGGTATGTAGAAGCCTGCATGATGATGAATCTGCACTCATTCATTCACTTTCAACTGACCTTAATCAAAAGCAAATCTGAAAGATCAGCAACACTGTAGAAAAACTGTGGAACTAAGTGGCTCTTACAATATACTGCCAATGGGCAAGATCCATCACAAACTACTAAACTCAGTTCAAAATCCCAATTATGCACTTAAAAAAAAAAAACCAAAAAGCAAAATCCTGCAGTGGTTAGCCCTATTCACTTAGGCATTCAACAGTCTTCCAACTCACCACCATAAGTGAAATTCAACCTAGTATCTCACATTTAAAATGACTAAATAGCTTTCTAGGTATGTAATCTCATCTATTTGGTACTAGTTACTAACCAGCGACAAATCTGTTTCTGGACTGGTCAAACATAAGAAGTATTAAGAACTGAATATTCTCCAACAATCACCACAAATCACTCTAAACAGAAGGACAGGCCAGAAAAGTACCATTCTGGTTCCTAACAACTTTCTCTTAAAAAATTAGCCAAATGGAAGTCAATGACATAGTTAATTTGGGGTGTTACCTAAAATACATACATACTAATTTGATCCTGAGAGATAACATACTTCATCAAATTTGAAGTGGTGGGTCACATTAAATGATTCAGGACTTTGAGATCAGATTATATAGGATACACAATATAAACATCAGTGTTAATATTGTTAAAATGAAGTACCCAAAGCCAGAACTACAAATCTCAACAAAAATAATGAAAATGGTCCTCCCTTCAAATGGGATTCTTTTACAAGATGAACAGTCTTAGTCTTCATTGTATTTTTTTTAAGAGAGAGAAGTACAAGATACAACACACCTCCCTGCACCATTTGCAGAATACTATTATCTCATAAGGTCTCTAAACAGACACCCAAGAAAATAAATTTATCATAGTATTAAGAACACCTGCCATTCACATTCTGCTTGTATTCTCTGTTTCTAACTTCCTGAAGAGACCAAAGTAGTAAAGAACGTGACCTCCAGCAACCCAACACCAATCACTTCTTAGGGGAAAGCAATGAGAAGAGACAATGGAGGCCAGCAACAGACCAAACAAAGAAAAAGAAGGCAAAGTTTAGGTGAGAAAGCATTTGATAGGCAAGTTTTGAGAAAACTCATTTCCAATTCTGCAGATGCTCAGTAAGTGAAACTGGAGTGTGGTTAAAAAAACGAATAGTGCTTCTCATTTGGAGTGGGGGAGGGGGGAAACACTAAGGTTCTTCAAAAATTCAAGTTAATCAAACTCTAACAATTACAATACAGTAATTATCCAAGACTTGTCACAAAATCTTCTATCTTTGGCAGACAAAGACTGACTAGTAGTGGTTGATGGCTAAATAGGAAATGTAACTGAGTGTGGCTTTCACCCTCCCCCACTCTGCCTTTTCCGTTTCCACTTTGGAGAGGCCATCAACCCATAAGGAAGGTGGGAGAGCAATTCCTCAAACCTAGCTTTTTTGGGTCTTTTCTGTAGTAGAGTGAAACTCATTTTCCACCCACTTTATTTCGCCGTCGCTGCTCATTAAGTCACACACTTGACTTGGTTTTGCATTTCCTCGTATTTCCTTCCACAGTTAGAGACGACCCACTCGGCCCTGTGCGGTCGCAGGCCCATACGCCCTGCAACATGCCTCTTGCATCCAGCCCAACGCCCTTCCTCGACTCCCCTCCAAAAACATAAGACGATGAAATGCTGTACCCACTAGGGGACCCTGAAGAGCGAACCGGGGTTCACGCGGCCCGGCCCCCGGACACCCCTCCCTCGCACCGGGCCTGCACGTCTTCCCCGGCTTCTTGGCCGTTGTCGCCGCCGCCGCCAGAAACTCTGGACTTACCGTCAGGCCGGTGCCCAGCACGATCACGTCGTACTCCTCATTCATGGCGGGCAGGCGCAGTCAGAAGCCCAGAGAAAAGAGAAAACTCAGGATGCTAGGGGACAGTCGTTATGTGGCCACTCCGAGGATGCGGGGGAAGCACCTCAGGCCGGTTTCGGGACCGAGACCAAGAGAAGTCTTAGGGTAAAGTGGAGCAGGGGTAAAGTGGAGCTGGAAAGAAGGGAGGCCAGCCGCCAACCCAAGGGGAAAAAGAAGAGCGGGGCACTGTGGGGGGCGGGGCAGGCGGGCGGTGACCCGGACCTCCGCAGCCGGGCGGGGCTCGAAGGAGGGGCCCGGGGGACAGTCCATCAACGCTTTCTATTCTCTCATTGGCCACCTCCCGATCGCCCGTCCAACCTTCTTCCTTTCCGAGCTCTCGCGAGACGTCCTTCTGTTGGATTTCGGTGCTGCGCCGGGCTAGTTGTGATCCTAGAGCGAAGGTAGCCAGTCGATGATCCTGAAAGGCTGGTGGGGAAGGGTGCCGGCAGTAGAAGGGTGGCTGTCCAGTTCTTCACTCCCGCCGCTGTGTGGCAGCCGACGCCCCGAGGTGCCATTGGACTTTGAGTCTGCGCGGGCCACGTGGACCGGAACCGTCCGGCGGGGTTTAAGTGGGTGTGGACGCGCGAGAAAAGCGGCCGACAGCCTTGGATTCAGGCCCTCCCACTCCAGAGGTTACGTAAAGTGGCCTGAAACCGGTTGCCGGGGCTGGTGGCTGTTTGCCCGCCCCCTGCCATCGATACTTATAGTGGCACGTAGTCATACCATTTTCAACTTGTTTGGTTTTTCTTTCCCGCCTGCCTCTTTTCTAAAGGAAAAAGAGCCCTTCACGTTTTAAGGAATTCAGAACTCACGAATTATTTAAAATCTTGTTTCCCGCCTCTGTCGTTCTTGCTTGGTGTTGCCCTGTGTGCAGCCTTAGGAATTTTACAAGAAAAAAAACTAGCCTTTTTTTTTAACTGATTTTTTTTTAGAGAGCGAGAGATACGGATTTATTGTTCCACTTATTTATGAATTTATTGGTTAATTCTTGTACGTGCACTGACTGGGACAGAAACCTCAACCTTGGATATCAGAAGATGCTCTAACCAATTTAGCTACCTGACGAGGGCAACCAACCTGCTTATAAATTATAACTCTTAGCATAAATAAAGGGAAGGCCAGATTTGACTAGGAATTAAGTTTGTGCCTAATGAGAGCTATAATGTAAACCAATTATAAAAATAGTAGCTGATCAGTACATGAATAAGTTTAGGCCATGAGCTTAGAAGAAAATTTACCCCGTTGGCCTTCCAAGTCCTCTACCCTTGTCGCATCCCACCCCAATACACACACCCTTTTTTTAGGTGTAAGCAGAGGCTTGTGTCCTCATAGAGAAAGACCTATAGAGGTCTATACAAGTGATTATGTTAAAAGCCTTCCCAGCTAGTGTTTTCAGCTTGCATATTCAGTAGCAAGAGTTGGTATTTTCTTCAAGATTTACTCTCAAATGCAGCTGGAGAAGAGCAGCTATTCAAGGTGAAGCTTGGTAGACAGAACTGCCTTCCTTTGTATTTAAGTCATTCAGATTCAGGAAAGAATGTAATAACTTTCTGCAATGTTTCTTCACCCCATACAGAGTATGAGGAGGTTTGTTATATGACCCTTCATGAGAGGGAAGACAGTTTATATTTACATACAACCTTAACTGGATTTTTATTTGTTAGTGACCAAATGAGTTTTTAATATTTATATTTATTGATTGAGTTTTAGAGAGGAGGGAGAGGGGGAGAGAGAGAAGCATCTATTTGTTGTTCCACTTATTCATACATTCATTGGTTGATTCTTGTATGTGCCCTGACAGGGGATCAAACCTGCAACCTTGGTGTATCCCATGCTCCAACCAACTGAGCTAATGGGTCAGGGTCTTAATTTTTGTAAGTAGACAGAACTCAAGTGCAAAGTTTATTAGCCTGCTGAATCAGTTACGGTGTAACTGATTTTTCTGTTGGCTAAACAGATAATGGGTTAAGAAGGTCCTGCTGTTCCTCCCCAAGTAATCAGGAATGTGTATATATATGTATATGTATAATATATGTGTATATATTATACACACACATATATAAAGCAAATTTATTTCTTACAGTTCTGGAGACTAGGAAGTATAAATCACATTGTGTCTGGCAAGGGCCCTCTTTCTGGTTTAAGCTGTCTTCTCACTGTGTTATCACATGGCAGAAGGGGCAACTGATCTCTCTGGGGTGCTTTTATAAGGGGTGTGTGTGTGTGTGTGTGTGTGTGTGTGTGTGTGTATAATACCATTTTTTATTTTTTATTGTTAGTTCAATTACAGTTGTCCCAATTACTCTTCCCTGCCCTACCCACCTCCACCTCCCACATTCAGTCCTGCCCCTCACCCCATCCCGCCCTTTGTCTTTGTCCAGGGGTCCTTTATACATGTTCCTTGACTTGGCCCTTCTCTTTCTTTCTCCTGTTATCCCCCTCCTCCTCCCCTTCAGTCACTATCGGTTTGTTCTTTATTTCTAAGTCTCTGGTTCTATTTTGCTTACTTATTTGTTTTGTTGATTGGGTTCCACTTATAGGTGAGATCATATGGTATTTGTCTTTCACTGCCTGGCTTATTTCACTTAGCATAATACTCTCTAGTTCTATCCATACTGTCACAAGGGGTAAGAGTGCCTTTCTTTCTGCTGCTTAGTGTTCCATTGTGTAAATGCACCAAAGTTGCTGAAACACCAATTCAAAAGAACCTAGGCACTGTAGTGTTCATAGCAGCATTATTTACAATAGCTAAGTGATCAAAACAGCCTAAGTGCCCATCAATAAATAAGTGGATATTTTATTTATTTTTAATAGTTTGTTTTTATAGTATTTTTTCCATTACCATGTCTCATCTTTATACCCTCCCTATATTTTTGAACTGACACAAAATACTGACTCTTTAAAAAAACACCCTGACAATAACAAGAACATTTTTTGCATTTTTGCCATCAGCCTCTGAAATGGAAGAGGCTTTTTAAAAATGTCAGCATTGCCTTGGCTGGTGTGGCTCAATGGTTGAGCACTAGCCTGAGAATCAAAGGGTCACAGGTTCAATTCCCAGTCAGGGCACATGCCTGGGTTGTGGGCCAGGTCCCAGTCCCCAGTAGGGGGCACATGACAGGCAACCACACATTGATGTTTCTCTCCCTCTCTTTCTCCCTCCCTTCCCTCCTGTCTAAAAGAAGTAAATATTTTTAAAAGATTTAAAAAGAATACCAGCATAAATAAGTGGCACAACAAATTAATGTTTCTCTAAATTCAATAAATAAATTATCAAAATGGAGAGAGAAAAAGGCAGAGAGAGAGAAATATTGATTTGTTGTTCCACTTATTTATGCATTCATTGGTTGATTCTTATATGTACCCTGACCAAGGATCAAACCTACAACCTCAGCATATCGGGACAATGCTCTAACCAGCTGAGCTACCGGGCCAGCACCATGTTACCAAGTTGTTTTTTTAAATATGCTTTATGGATTATGCTATTAGAGTTGTCCTAATTTTTCCCCCTTTGTCCCCTTCCTCCTGGTACCACCATACCTGCCAGCTATCCCCCTCTTAGTTCACGTCCACATGTCATATAAGTTCTTTGGCTTCTCTATTCTCTACTATTCTTAACATCCCCTATCTATTTTGTATCTACCATTTATGCTTCTTAATCCCTGCTCCTTTTTCCCCATTCTCTCCTTTCCCCCTGCCAGCTGATAACCCTCCAAATCATCTCCATACATATGATTCTATTCCTGTTCTGGTTGTTTGCTTAGTTTGTTTTTTAGAGTCAGTTGTTGATGGTTGTAAATTTGTTGCTATTTTAATGTTCATAGTTTTGGTCTTATTTTTCTTAAATAAGTCCCTTTAGTATTTCATGTAATAATGGCTTGGTGATGATGAACTAACTCCTTTAGCTTTACTTTGTCTGGGAAGCACTTCATCTGCTCTTCTGTTAGAAATGATAGCTTTGCTGGATAGAGTTATCTAGGTTGTAGGTCCTTGCTTTTCATCACTTTGAATACTTTTTGCCAGTCCCTTCTAGCCTACAAAATTTCTTTGAGAAGTCAGCTGACAGTCTTATGGGAACTCCTTTGTAGGTAACTCTCTGCTTTTCTCTTGCTGCTTTCAAGATTCTCTCTTTATCTTTAACCTTTAGCATTTTAATATGATGTATCTTGGTGTGGTCCTCTTTGGGTCCAACTTGTTTGGGACTCTTCTGTGCTTTCTGGACTTGTATGTCTATTTCCTTTGCCAAATTAGGGAAGGTGGGTTTTTTTCTTTTTGTTTTTCATTATTTTTTCAAATAAGTTTTTATTTTCTTGTTCTTTCTATTCTCCTTCTGGCATCCCTATGATTCAGATGTTGGTATGTTTGGAGATATCCCAGAAGCTCCTTATACTATGTTTGTTTGTTTTTATTTTTTCTTATTGCTATTCTAGTTAAATGCTTATTTCTTTCTGATGTTCTGAATCATTGATTTGAATCTTGTCATCTTTCCCTCTATTGTTGGTTCCCCATAGATTTTTCTTTATTGCACTCAATGTAACCTTCATTTCTTCCTTGTTGTTTTTTTTTTCATGCTGTTGTCATACTCAGTGACTTAGCATCCTGATAACTAGTATTTTGAACTCTAGTTATCTGTCAGGTTGGTTATCTTCATTTTATTTAGTTCTTTTTCTGGGGTTTTGTTCTCTTCTTTCATTTGAGCCATATTTCTTTTTCTCCTCAATTTGGTAGCCTCCCTTCATTTGTTTCTGTGTCTTAGGTGCTTTGACTCCCTGTCTTAGTTGCATGGCCTATTGTAGAAAAGGTACCTGTACATTGTGTGGGCAGGAGGCTTAGGGAATTGCCAAGGTGGGGCAACCTACTTCACCTTTTTGTGGCTCTATGTGGGTGAAGGGTTAAGAGAGGGGACAGTGCCTCTGCCTGGCTTCTGGGGGGTTGCCCAGCACTCGAGTTGTTTCCAGTCACTTTATGTACTCCCTGTATGCAACTTGTGCCCTTCCAGCTGCTGTGCTGCTGCAGAATCCCAGAGGGGGTGGGTCTGTGTAAGTTTTAAGTCCATGTGGACCCTTTAAGCAAGTCTCCTGAAAATCTGGCAGTTTCTCCCGCCACCTCAACCCCCCTTGGTTTTTACAGCCAGAAGTTATGGGATTTATCTTCTGGCATTGGAAGCTTGGGCTGTGTGGTCTGGGACTGGTATCCTTTACTGGTGAAGTATCCCTCCTGATTTTTGTCCACCACACATGAATGTGAGACCACCTATTCTGCCACCTCTCTGAACCACACTGGGTCTGCACACGTCTCTGCATCTCCACACCTCCTACCCGTCTGGATGAATGTGGCTTCTTTAAATTCTTGATTATTGAACTCCCATATAGCTCAATTTTCTGATGTTTCTGAGTGTTATTTGTTTTGAGGTCTGGTTGTAATTTTTTCTGTAGTTGTGAGGAGGCAAAGTGTGTTTGCCTATACCTCCATCTTGACCAGAAGTTCTGAGATTTGTTCCATGTTATTAAGTGAAGGATACTTCACCCGTATTCAGATGGA